ATCAACCGTTTTACGGCTGCGATACTTTATTTTCAAACTGGGTAAAAATAATTACTCATATGGTGCAATAACTGCTAATTAATTTTGGAAAAAAAATATCGCTATGAAGGGGATAGTTTTGCAAATGTATGACAACTGACGCACGTAGTCCCGTTTTTAAGTTATTAGTATGTAACTTATAAGGGAAAATCAGGATTTTTCTTGTTTTGATTCTCATAATTGGTCATGTCATAACAAGATAATGATTATAACGTGATATTACTTATTTGTGGAGCTGCCTCATGGATAATACTAGCCTATGACACATCAGCCAGCTCTTAAGACAAGTGATAAAAAACTCATAAATATTTATATATTCTAACGGGATTTCACATTTGATCGCTAAGTCAGTCCATTAAGGTTTCTCAAAAAATAGATGCTCCCGGTGTACTTCTTTCAGCAAGAAAACCACGTACATATCATTATGTAAATCATGATGAGTAGTTGAAATACATGGGAAATATAAATGTGTTCAATATCTATGTGCTAATCAAACATGTTTGCTGATTTCGACTCATAGACGATACGATCTGATTTTCAGCATTATTGAGCAAAGTTTTTGCATGTTATGAATATAAATTAACAGATATAAATCATCAGTCTGAGAAAGATCTGATAAAAAAATACATTGTCTAATGTGATGAATAGCTGAATATCAGCTGCACATGCCCGAACATATGTAATATATATCTAAGATTTGCGTTATATGGCATTTATCGATATTTTAAGTCGAATTTCTTACGCTCAACCAGCTCTCCATATAACAAAACGCTATAGTCTGACTCTGAAGTGTATAAAGGGTTATTTTGTAATTTCAGGTCATGTTTGATACCGATGTTAAGCTGATTTCATATAACAAAATATGACCAAACAAGATACACGAGCCGGGGTCTCATTCTTCGGTTGAGTGAATATTGTTTACTCAAGTGTACTGTGATGAACTATTTCGATTATAAAAAATACGCTACATATATATTGGTATTACTCACGTGTGCAGAGCTACACTGTTGCTAACTGTTTACAAGGGTCGAGTCAATTCGTTTTAACACTGTGACTCCCGTTGTGATACCGTCCCAGTACAACACAAAACCAAAACTCGATATAACAAGCTTTATTGATGTGATAACTTCGATGAACATGAGTAAACGATGTGTTTGTAATGCGTGGAAATGAAATAGTCAATCCAAAAAGATTATCTGCGTTCAGGAATCCCTAATTAAAATGCGTGGGATTGCGTAGACCAATGTGATTGGGTGGGTTGGGCCGTTTACATGGTTGTCTTGGCAACTACAAGTAGTTAACTCTGATACGAATGTGCATGTAATAGGAATTTCACTAGATTGAAAGATTCGTGTTCTACAAAGTGAATCGTTGTGTATTGTGTAAACATTCCATGGAATTATTTGTCATTGATTTCATAGGGAATCATCGTGATACCGATCCATTTCAGATTTGTTCCCACAGTCCTGCTGATTAAGAGGTATGAAACTGATGTCGACCCTGATTTTTATTCATTCAAACATATATATCACCATTACTATACCTATAAATGATCATGTAGTGTAAGAACGAAAAACCGTCTATGGGAAAATATTACGTTTTCATTCAGTGCCCCAATGTGTTATTATCGTAGTTTGTACACGTTTCAATGGTGATTCAGATTTATAGAATTTGTAAGAGTTCGCGATTGCGTTAACGTTGTTACATGAATATCAACACATAAGATGATGTTAGAATAGTTTTCTAAGGTTTATACCAAAGTAAGAAGTTTAACATTGTTGGTTAAACGAATTACAAATCTGTAGAATAGTGAGAGAGTGAGGAAAATTATTAGCGGATAAACGAAAGAAAAAGATAACGAACATATAATAATTCCATTATTATTTTTCCAAAAACATGGCCTTTCCATAATGGTATTACTATGTATAATTATGTTTGGAAACTTAAAACAAATGCTATAGTCGCCGCGACGCATGTTTCGAAATGGATCTCGTGCGACGTACACGGCGCATGTGAAATGCCCTGCTTTATTTCTTAGACAACCACCACAACAAACAGATTCAACCTTTCATACTTCACTGTTAGTGTCTGATTTTGTATTTTTTGGAAAGCATAAATAAGAACATAGTATCAGTTTGAAAAGTAAAAACACTTAAATTATTGAAATTTCGAAACAGCGCACAGACAAAGTCATATATAGATATGTATGTATATATCATATATATACAATAATGATTACACTGGTAAAACGGCTGAGTGATATTAAATAGTAATTAAAAAATTGTATTTGTTATCACATACCCTGACATAAATCATTATAGTTATTTGTATTTTATCAGTACAAACAGATCAGTACAGTGAAAGCACGTCCTCCGAGATTCTACAAATTGACATCTGTTAGAACAAACTGATATATACTGTTTTATTCGAAATGCGGTAGCTTTGTCTATCTAAAATAATTGGCGCCAATAAGTCAGCTCGGTACATTGTGAACATGGTATAAAACTCCGCATGAAGTCTGCCTATACAAACAATGTGAGTTTTAATGACATTGACATGTTATCGACCTGTCAAGTACGCTAACTATAATACGGTAATGGCCAGGGAAGCGAATGCAATTACTTAGAACTTAAATCAATTAACGCGGCAATATGGGAGCGTCGCTTTTCCAACACTTTTAACACTGATTTGAACCGTTTTGTATGTTCACATTGTCATTTGCAATTTCTAGCAACGCGCTGGACAGAACAACGAATCAGTACGCCGGGTATTTGGTTGCTCTCGAAACTCAATCACTCGCTAATTGGTGATATATTGGCAATTGGTAGTATGAGCTTAAAAGAGCTCTTAGAAGCCGTGCATTTGGTACCTCATTTACTGATTTGATGAACGACGCCGACTGTGATGAAAATGCCGTGGTTAATTTTTTTTAGCACCCAGTAGAAAACTACATTTAGACAAAACGTGTATGTGATCGTAGTCTCTGGTTTTAAAATTAAATAGTAGATGAAATAATCTGATGTTTTAATAAAAACAAAACAAAAACACGCACACCTATTATCTCCGTTGATAATGTCTATGTAGTTTCGGTAGCGTTGGTATGTTGATTGCAAAATTACGGAAAACGTAATAAACGAATTGCTCTGAAATTTATAACAGTGTCTTTGTCCACGGAAAAACCTGTCGAAATAACTTCGCAATCTGGGTGATTGTGTTAACACTGATGAAAATCGACATGTCAAAGTTGTATTGTTATAAAAAAACAAATTTCAGAGTTCAAAAAATATACTGTTTGGTAGAATTGCTACTTAAATCTTTGAATCTACGTTTTTAAGTTGTATTAATAAAACAATTAGAGTTCACGCCGCTTTGCAAACGCTACTACTTCAGGTATACAGTTAAGGTAGCGGGACTATTATTTGCATACTTGTTTTCATCTTCTAATTGGGACCAAACGACTACAAATAGACCCAGGAAAGTAGATATTTTTAGAATCGCCAGACTTCAAGCTTTTCAAAGGTGTGTTTGCCATGCCCATATCTGCATTCTATGTTGCGTTACTTAATCAAAAGTGAAAAATTACTTTTTTTTGTAAAAAAAATAATTACGCATTTATGCTGGTGATAAGAAGTTTTGTTTTCACTTTTCCTAGTTGTTCAATATTCTGGTAAATTGAATGTGTCTGGGCAGTTTTATTCAAGCAACGCGTTTTGAAAAGTAGTGTCCTGAATTGTAATTTCTGTTTTAGTCGCATTGACCCCAACTCCAATCCATGAAATAGTTTGTCTGGACACATTCAAGTTCCTCTCATTGTTACCCTAAAGCTGTGAAAATTTGGTGTTAATCCGACAACAATAAATATACGTTATTTTTTGTTAAAGACCTTGTATTTTGAAAAACACAAACTCCTAGAAAACGTCAATGAAGTCACAGCAAAGATTTTCAAGCTTGTTTATCTGCACAAGCGATTTGTTTTCCCGATCAAGGTCTGTTTTAACATGTGTAGGGGCATCCAAATGTGTAAGGCTATTGGAAACCAAAAAATAAAGGAATGGGATAGCTATAGTTGATAAAATGGCAGATGAAAACACCAAAATCAATGATTTTTTTTCAGTGGCTTTGTGACCTTGTGTCTGACACATTCATATGCAAATGACTAATCTGTGAAATAAACAGGGGCGGAGACAAACCACTCAAATGTTTGGAAACACTAATTGTGTGTCAGATAGCTACTGATAACACATCCTAACATTGCTTTGTCTTGAGTTAATCTTTGAAACTTATAGGCACACAGATTAAACCTGTGTTGTTGATTTTGGAAAACACTACTGAAGCTGCATTGCTTCCCTTCAGAAAATCTACATTTTAACCAACTTACATGACATTCTAGTTTACGTTGACTTTATCAGATGAAAGTTTATAGTGCATTTCATCAATTAATAAATAAATGTGAAAATCGTAATTTTCAACACAAATAATAGTCTCGCTACCTTAAAATACCTTCTCTGTTGTAGTACAAATGATTGCAAAACGTGGTTTTTTTGTATGGGGGTGGGGTGGGGTGGTTTTATATGGTCATGTGATATATCACATGTTTGGTGTTCTTCAGGGCAAGCAAGTCACCTATACAATGATGGTCTGTCATGAAATGAGTTTAAACTACCTT